GCTAATGTCTTTCTTGAGTCCACAGTTCAAAAAGTACTTATGCGTTACAAAGAATCCACTTCATCTTTCTGAGTCTGATTTCTTTATATAAGATTTGGAGTCTTAATGATGTCAGTACTACTTTTGCTATATCTCAAGAATGATTTAGGAATTTTAGAGTCTTGAAGTGCATAGTACAAGGTGTTAAACATGCAAATCTGACAGTAGAGTAGGTAATTCAGCTTGGACTAGATATTTTCAACCAGAATGCAAATGGCAAAGAAGCCAGTCAGCAAATATTTGTTAGGTGCCTTCTATTCAACTGCACTGTGGTAAGCCATGACCCTTCTTCTAAGAGTTGTCAAAATACCCCTTAAGAAATGAGTTTTAGGGCAAAAGGCATAATGAATAGCCATGGATAGGTTTTATTCTTGCTTACAAACATCTACATGTTATGAATAAATATATAATAATTCAAATACATAAGCAGGCTTTCTTTCTTGAAGTCAATGCCAGGTGGCAGAAACAGAGAAAAAAGCTGATATCACAGTGGTGGGCAGGCCTTGGCGTAAGCCCTAGAGGTTGTGGCTTCAGTGCATTCACAGGGACAGGAAGCACATTCCAGCTTGTGGGGGTGTGGGGAAATTACAGGCCCCCGCTGAAAACATTATTAAATTGTGTTATTAAATTCAGAAAGAAAGAAATTGAATCCAGGGAAGGTGTACAATATAAGGTATGAAGGCAAAAAAGAAACTGACAAACTTTTTGGCAAATATAAATAGTCATAGATTGTTTTCTGTGTTTCAAAAGACTAATATTGCAGGAGATTTTTTTTAAAAAATACTAAAATGCTAGAAAACGGTGAAATAAAGAATATGAATAATATTGGAAAAATAAAGTAAGGATGAATACAAAATAACTGTAGAAATGACAAACACAAACTTAAGAAGTTTAAACTCATTTGCTTAAAGAAATATTGTCATATGGGATATCTTTGAAGCAAAACAAAAATGTAGCTAATACAGTTTAACAAGAAACATTTAACATTTAATGACATTGTTGGTAAAAATAAAATTATGGAAAAGTCAGTTGCAGGCAAATACTAACAAAAACAAAAGAAAACTAAGTTAGCAATATTAAAATCAGAAAAAAGGCTTTAAGGTAAAGAACAATATGAAGAATGAGTTTTATGATTCAATGATAGAATAATCCAGTCAGGAAGAACTCATAATCCTGTGTTTTTATTCATCAAATAATACAGACTCAAAGTTCATAAAGCAGTACTGAATAAAATTATACAGATAAATATACAGATTTACAATCAGAATGTTTCCATCTAACACCCTTCTATGAGAAATTGATTGCTCAAGTGGAGAAAACTAGGATTCAGAAGTATGAAAAGCACATCTAACAAGATATAGTAGACTTATATATTAGCATGGCCACAATAAGTGGAGAAAGTACACTATTTTCAGAAGGTCTCAGTAGGTACTGAAGAATCAATGCCATGTAGATTATGCTTTTTAACTATAATACAATATAATTTAGGTGGCAATGCATAAAATATCCAAGAAAATACGTTACAAGTAGAACAAAATTATTTTAAGTATTTCAAAGAAGAAATCAAATGAGAATTACAAAATGTTCAAAACTGCAATAGAAGCATTTTTATGTAACAACTTGGACACAACTAAAAATATATTTACAGTGACACTTCTAGGTCTATATAATAACCAGAAAGATTAAAAAATAGTGATTTAAGCATTTGAACTTTAAAAGTTAAAAAGGGAACAAATTCTAAGGAAGAATATTTGATTATAATAAAAATAAGAAAATTCGTGGGATGACAATAAAAGAAACAAGAGTAAAGATCAACTAAATAAAAAAACAGTTTTTTTTGAAAAAACAAATTTTAGTAGATAAATCTCTATCAAGATTCATCCAAATGAAATGGCAAAATTAAGCAATAGGCACAAAAAGAAGGGTCACAACAGCGAAAGGTAGGATTTAAACAAAATAATAAGCAAATATCATAGAAAACTTTATCCCAGATAATATAAATCTTATGTCAAATGACAATTTTCTAAGTAAATATACATGACCTAAAATTACCCTCCCAAAAAAGAAAAAAAAAAAAAACTAAATAGAACTATAGCCATTAAAATAATTGAGGGGCTGGGGTTGTAGCTCAGCGGTTGATTGCTTGCACTGGGTTCGATTCTCAACACCACATAAAAATAAATAAAGTAAATATATTAAAAAATAATTGAATTGGTAGTAAAAATTCTACATGTAAATGCTACAAATTGATTATCTTTGATATGACAATAGTATAAACTATGATGGAAGGATAAACAACTTCAAAATAGTCTTAATAATGTGTATATATATATATATATATATATATATATATATATATTTCATAGATAACTTGATATTGTATCTAAAAACTCATGGCTACACCTAAGGTCACCTGGATATTCTTCTGCTATCTTCTAGTTTTATAGTTTTACATTTTATGTTAGGTCTGTGATCCCCTTTGAGATGATTTTTGTAAGAGATGGAAGTCTAGGTCTAGATTCATTTTTCATTTGTGGACATGTAGCATTTGTTGAAGCGATGCCTTTTCCCATTGAACTCTACTGGCTCCTTTGTCAAAGATCAGTTGGCTACACTTGTGAGTCTACTTATGGACACTATTCTCTTCTCTTGATCTATTTGTTTATTCAAGTGGGGCCTGAAATGGTATTTCACTATGGCTGTGATTTGGTTTTCTCCTGTGACAAAGATGCCAGGCAATTGTTTCATGTGCCAATTGCCTGTCGCTACAGCTTCTCTTATGAAGAGATTATTCAAGTATTTTGCCCTGAAAAGGTGGAATTTTGTATTTCTTTTGATTAATGTATATTCTTTACAATTTACAAAATTACAATTCTAAGTTACAGATTGATTAATAATTCTTATTTACAGTTCCGTATACAATCTCCTTGTCATGTATATGAATTGAAAATATTTTCTCCCAGTCTGTGGCTTCTGTTTCTATTTTCTTAGCAATGCCTTTTGATGAACAGCAGTTTCTAATTTTGATTAAGTGCAATTTATAAAGTTTTATTTTATGTTTAATGCTTTTTTGGGCCTTTATGTCACTCCCTTGTTGAAGACCTCTCTTTATTCCTCCAGGATGAAATCTCCTTGGCATGGTCTAAAGGCCCTTCCCAGTCCAGCCGATGTCCTCCTATTGTTCACACATAGAACTAATGCTGAATATTAATCTCTTTTCTGTTTTTTTGACACATCAAAAATTTCTATGTTTTTCTGATTTTGCCTGCTTGAGTCTCCCATTTTCATCTGGCTTTTGTTGATTTAATATTAAAATCCAACTCAAATATCACCTCTTCTGGAAAGTCCTCTTGGGTTTAGGTTACCTTTGGCCTCAATATCTCTCCTTTGTGTTCTAGAAGTAGTTAAGTCTTCACGTTAACTTGTTCAGTCTGTCTGTCTATCTATCTATCTCCCATCTGTATAATTTCCTCTTTCTCAGGGGATTCTAATCTCCTTGGTCAAGGTGTTGTATCTTTCAAGCATGTCTTTTGAGCCTGGTATAATGGTGCATACCTGTAATTCTAGCAACTTGGGAGACCGAGACAAGAAGTTTGAGACCAGCTTGGGTAACTAAGTGAGACCTTCTCTCAAAATTAAAATTAAAAGAGCTGGGATTATAGCTCAGTGTACAGTGCTTGTTTAGAATGTGAAAGACTCTGAGTTCAATCCCCAGTACTACAAAAAACAAAAAATGCTTATGGTATCCATAGTGTTGCTAATGTGCTGAGGCATTAATACAGACACTTGTATCTTTCCACAATGTCAAAATTTATTGAATAACAATAAATTTACAAACTACACCATTTTTCAGCCATGACAATTCATCAAATACTCATGGGTCACCTGATACATAAGCCAGGCAGTCACAAGTTCTTTTATTCTATTCCAATCTTAATTTCTAATATCTATAACACTCAAGTCATACATCATATTTCAAAAATTATATATATACATATACATATATATGTGTATGTGTGTGTGTATATATATACACACACACACACACACATACACACACACACATAAAAGAAAGCCTTAAAGGGGTTTAGATAGCCACAGGGTTTTAGAATGCTGTGCCAAGAATAACAAGCAAAGAGGAATGTCAATGCACATAGTCAAAGAGTCATCATAGATGGTCATCTAAGGGTTTTAAAGAACCAGTTTTGCAGAGTTCTCAAGGCAGAGGGCCCCGATGGATAGCAGTTTCAGTTTCAGAGTGTCAGCTCAAGGTGTCAGCTTAGATTAAGCTGTGTGTCATCCTTGTGGGCAAGAGAAACTGCTCTATGCATGAGCCATGGTGGGTGACCAGCTGACAGGGTCAGGGTGCTGCTGTGTCCAGGCTTAAGGGACTCCTTTTTTTATGGGTCTTGGGTGAAGGGGTTGGATCTGGTGAGGGTGATAAGCTTCTGTGACTGGCATTCCTGATGTGACTTACGACACTCCCACATCCATGTGCTCCTGATTTAATTTGATAAGTTGGCATATATAAATTATTTACCAATTTTTGCCTTATGGTTGTGTTGGGAAGATAGTGGTTGTTTGCTTCTACAAATAAGGTGTAGAGTCATTCCTCCTCGGCATTTGTACTCAAATGGAGTAGCTGATGGCAAACTTTTGGGCAAAATGGAGTAATTCAGAGTCAGGCACAGCCTGAATATTACTGTTCCATACATCGTGGAGTAACTCTGAACAAGTCATGGCCTATTCTCCACGCATAGCACCTAGTTAGAAGTCTGCATCTTGTGTAGCTTCTCAGTGTGTGTGTGTGTGCGTGTGTGTATGATGATATTACAAAGGATATTTCTCAGTAATGATTCTCAAAGTAATGGTTTTACATTCAGAGTTAAACATCCACAGATGTGAAAGGAGAAACTAATCTGCCAGTTCCCATATTATTCTGTTATTTATTGTTTCTTTAGTAACAGTTGCTCCCCCCTCGAGCACCCCTGCAGTGTTCTGCAGGAATGGTGGAACTTGGGAAAACGGCAGATGCATTTGTACAGAAGAGTGGAAGGGCCTGAGATGTACAATCGGTAAGTTACTTGAGACAATACTAGGGTGAGATTAGGTGATCCTTGTGTTAATGAGAACTTCAGCAAAACTTCTGGAAACTTCAATTATCAATTATAATTAATGGACATAATGCCAGTAAATGGGCACAATGGTGATGGCTTTAAGATGTGTTTAATAACTCAAGAGTCAAAGGCAAATTTCCCTCTAGTGCAATTTAACCATGTAATCAATACACCCTGTCCATTTATTGACTGTCAATTTTCTCTATAAACTCACAGGTGTGTCTCCTTCAAATTTAGGGCCATATGGTTCCCTCAGGTCCTTTCAGTTGCAGATATGCCATGTTATCCTATTTAAAATATCACATTTTTAACATGTTTAACTTTTCTGAAATTGAGATGCATCTCCCTATCCACTACCTATATACTTAAATGAAGTTCTTGTCTTTTCTTCCTTTTCCTTGAAGAGTTATTGATATAGTGGTTTTATTGCAATCAATAGTGTCTCAGAATCCAAGTTCAAGGCTGTTTCTTGATCTGAAGTGTACTTTATACTCTTCACACTCTATGCTGCCTGCTTGGGATCCAGAGCCCTACACACCCCTTCCTATCATTTCTTATATTCCTACCAGCCACTACGTCTCACACACCTTTCTGTTTTGACCCACATCTTCATTATGGCCTTTGTCACTGTAAGCTGCATAGTTTTAATTTTCAAGATTCTAACTCATTTCATATACACTATCCTTGCTAGTATATTAGTGCTCACCTTCTACTTCTACCTAGGTATGTATTTTGTATGCTGGAATCTGTTATCTAACAGGTTAGTTACTCTAATGGTAGTAAGTTAACCAGATAGAAAAGACCAGTAGATTCTATTACCTTTCAAATTACATTATATTGGTTCTGAACTTTGACTTTTATCTGGGTTCAAATTTGAAAAAGAGAAGTATAATTTTTAATGAAAAAAATTTCTTTCCATTACAGCTAATTTCTGTGAAAATAGTACCTATATGGGTTTTACTTTTGCCAGAATTCCAGTGGGCAGGTATGGAACTTCTTTGGAAACATGTGATAAGAACACTTTAAATGGTATGTTTTTTTCTAAAAATTTTCTTTCTTTGGGCTTAATATTCTCTATGCTGAGTCATACCTACCATCCCACCAACTAGTATTAAAACTCTGGAATAGGTATCAAGGAAAGGCCTAGTCCCCTTTTATGATGTCAATGTTCAAAGTTTGTGTGGTTCTTCACATAGTTGTAATTTTTCTAAAATCCTTAATATGGATCGTTTGTTTGAAAATTCCTCTTAATCCTTACTTGATAGGACTGTCCAGCTCACTCTGTCTCCTAGAGTTTGATTGGGTGAACATTTTCATTTTGAACTAGTTTGTCTCAATTTAAAAGAATTAGTCTAGATTATAGACTTAGACTACATCCACTTTCAGACTGCAACTTTCCAGGTAGAGAGGTTATTAATTAAGTCTGTCTGTAGTCAGCAGGCCTTCATCTCCTTGATCATCTAAGTTATCCAACCTGGAATACTCTCTAGCTTCATCATATCCTTCTTGAACATGACAAACTTATTTTCATAGAGGCATTCTGAGTAAAGGAGCAAATAATATTTTCCCTTTTCAATCCCTGATAACATCCTGGATATTGATGATTGTTTTATTTCAATGCCACATTGGGTGTAGCCTTTAGAAATCCATGGATACTTTTCCTAATAGTGTGCCTATTTTGTCATAATTTTCCCTAAATGTTTTCCTGTCCCTCGTTTGCATTGAGTTTTATCTTCTCAATCTTACAGGTAATCCCACATTTCCAGTAGAACTAGATACCCCAAGAATACAGCCAATTCTAGATAATTTACAAAAATATTTGATAGAACCACTATCAGTAACAACCTTGAGGAGAATTTCACATTTTACTTAAACATTTGTGCATATCAAGGGCTCTTGGAAAAACTAAGTGAATTACTTGAATCGTTCTTTCCTATCACTTCTTTACCTTATTTAATCTAAGTGATTATGTAGCTCTGCATTTTATTTTCAGAATCCAAATTGTTTTGCTCACATATTTCATGATTACTCTAGTATTCCTGATTTTACTCTTTACATAGGTCCTTCTAGCTTCTTCATTACGAACTCATAAAGTAAAAAGGGACTTGGGTTGCTTTGTCACTTACTATGCATACTCTGTATGCCATATTATACTATGTGGTGGGTCTATGGGCTCTGGGTACCTGTTGTCTTATTTTTATATGTCTTATATATCTTAAGTATTACATAATGATTTATAAAATAAATGCAACCTACAAAGCATAATTGTGTGCTATGAATTAGGAAGAGTAAATGTCAGTAATGTATCCATGAAGGTCATCACGCTTGTTTGATATATATAAGTTTTTTGAGAGAAGAGAATTACCATTTTTCATTGGGTTATTTATTTTTCTTTTCTGAGCAACTATTATGAAAATATGCTTATTATTATTATATTTACCTTCGAATTTCAGGTCAAGTCCATAATATAATTTTAAAGGTACACATCTTTAATTTACTTTTATTTTCATATTAAGAATTGCTTCTAGGGCTGGGCTGTAGATTAGTAGCAGAGTGCTTGCCTAGCATGTATGAGACTCTGGGTTCGATCCTCAGCACCATATAAAAATAAAAAACAAATAAAATAAAGGCATGCTCCTCATTTACAACTACAAAAAAAATTGCTTCTAATTAATAAGTTTTTAATAGGAAGTCACCACAATAGATTTCAATGATTTTGGGGTAGGGATATTAATAATTGTAGGTTATACTGAGGAAAAGGTGCACCTGACATGTGGTCACTTAAAAGTTATTTACATCCTGTATGTTTATTAGAAATTGTCATATGTCATAGAGTAGAGATGGAGACATCATATAAATTAGGAGTGACTCCAACTTTCTATCTTAAATGTTGTTGAAGTAATATCTAAATTCAGTATTTCTAGTTATGCCCCAAGAAGAAGTTGCTCAAAACTGGTCCTGAGAAAAAATTCTGATCAGCTGTTCCTTTAATGATTGTATCTATAGCAGCTACTTAAGTATTAACCATAGGACAGTGAGGTAGAGAGGCTTAGGTGATTATCTCAGGAAATAAACCAAATCACTTAGGAAGCACTTAAGAACTAACAAAACATCTAACAGGTGCTGCAGTACAATAGAAATATGCCTTTTATGAGTTACCCAGATTTGCATAAAGAAGAAAAGATCGACAAATAATTCAATACACGTTTCTGATCTCTTAGCCATCATGTCCAATTCAAAGGCATTTTGCCCCTGATTGTTAGAAGGTAAATCTTTCTAGCAAACATCAAAGGAAATAAATAGTCAACTGGTCTTTTGAACTCCAGATTTAAAAAGCAAGACAAGTGATATTTACCTGAAATACTGTTGTAGAAACTAACTTACTTTTCTAGACTATGTATTAGATCATCCCAAACTTATTGGCCAGAAACAATAATTGTTTAGATTTCTCACAGTTCTGTACATTGCCTGTGGCAGCTAGGCTGGGCTGGAAAGTCTAACATAGCTTTGCTCACGTATCCAGGATGTGGGTGCTGGCTGTTAGCTCAAGCACCTCAGTTCTGCTCCGCCAGGTCTGTCTTCTAGTAGGTCACACCTGCTTCCTAACATGATAGTCCCCGGACAGCATTCTAAGAGGATGAAGGCTGAAACTTTAAGGCTTTTTTAAGCCTAGGCTCTGAAATCCTTACTTTCTACTATTCAAAGTAATTTCCAGGTCAGCCAGGATTCTGGAAATATAGGAATCTAGTCCACTTTTTGATGGGAAGAGCAGTAGAGTCACATTGGGATGGAACATGTAAACAGGACCAGTAGCTGCTGCGCACATTTTTACAGACCATGTCTTTTTCTTCTTCTTCTTTTTTTTTAAATTAAAGCTGGCTCTCCAATAGCAATCCGCCTGTGCAATGTGTCTATATATGGAGAGATAGAATTACAAAATGCCACAATAGGAAACTGCAATGAAAATCTGGAAACCCTGGAAAATCAGGTATGCCCCAGGGCCCATCTTATGGGCAACTAGAAATTCTGATGCTGGGCAAAGTCTTTGTTTTTCAGATATTTGATGGTCAAATCCATGTTTCCCATACTCATAAAACAGAAATAACAAAACTAGTACCTAAAATCACTCTTATTTGTTTAAAGTTGACATCTATTTGTGGAAAAGAGGAATTGAACTTGTTGCTTTGGCAAATTTCAGCAGATGATAACCCATTCCACATTCTAAAAGGACTTATTTTTAGAGACCAGTGACATTTTAACTGAAAATAGATCCCTAACATTTGTAACCAAAGTGAGATATTTTGGTGGTTTGCTGGATCAGAATGAATAGTGAAAAAAACTATAACCAAAGACCCGCTCAGACAGTAATGCTGATCTTGGGCTGTGATCATGAGCAGGTGAATGGGAAGTACATCAGACTAGCTATGTTTTTATACAGATTAAATTATTTTGATGAAGAGTGTAGGCAAATGCAACACACGGAAGAGCTAACACTAAGGTCTAAGCAAGGGGTGGGGGGAGAAGAAATGTACTTTTATGTTGGTTCTTTCATGTGCCAGGCATTATATATATATAATTATATGTATATAATTTAATTCTCATAGAACTTCTGTGAGGCAAATGTTATTCCCATATTGCAAACAATTGCAGGTAATAGCACTAGTTAATTGACGAACACTTATGCCAAGCACAAATACTCCTGGACTAATGATTGGGTTACGTCCTAATAAATTCATTGTAAGTTGAAAATATAAACTATAGATGCAGTTAACCACCAAGCCTACCCAACGCCATCATTGTCGAGCACCACAGTACACTGTGGACTTTATTGGCTGTTAATCCTCATCATGTAGCTGACTGGGAGCTGTGGTTTACTGCTGCTGTCCAGCATCCTGAGAGAATAGTGTATCACATATCACTATCCTGGGAAAAAATAAAAATTCAAAATTCGAAGTACAATTTCTACTGAATATGTATTGCTTTCACACCACTGTAAAGTCAAAAAGTCTTAAGTCAAACCATGGTGAGTTGGGGACTATTTGTACTGTGATGAACATTTTGCATCTGTTAATAGTTTAAAAAGATAATACATAATATTATAACACCACAGATAAGTATTAGTACACTGATTTTGTAGAAGAGGAAAATATGATTCTGAGGGGTGGAATGTTTTGCCTAGTGACGATAGTCTCAATTTTAAAATCCACACTATGCTGCCCTGACTCCCTAATCACAGAAAAGCAGGTGTGGGTGGGTTGGGGAAGGGAGTTTGGCTGTGTAAGTGTCTGCCAATCATACAGAGTATAAGAAAGACCGCAGAATCTGAAGTCTGACAAGCCAGTGTATAATTCTTGACTCTGCCATTTCCAAGCTGTGTGGGTGAGCTTTGGTTAAGCTCCTTAACCTCTCTGAGCCTTACAATGTTGTGTTTCTATTACATATAATAACACCTCTAAAATATCTAGCAAAGTGCCTACCTCACACATAGCGGGGACCTGGGTATTGAATGAGACAGTTATATGTTTTTGTCTACTGATTGGATATTATTTCTGACTGTGAATTGCCTGTAACAGTTGGTTTGATTTTTTGAAATGATGCTGCCATCTAGTGGAAAACTAAGCCCTCTCCAACGTTGACACTGAGCTTCACTACTGATAGTACAGACTGGCATGTTTCAGCCTCACAGCACAGAGCCTTGGGGCCAATTGGTACCTGGAGAGGTCGTGTAGGCCAGTGCGTCCGAAACTGTGCTGAAAAGCCAGCTTAAAAAAGCTTCCAACCCATTGCTGACCAATAATTTCATAAAATACAATAATAGAAAAGCAAAATGAATATACATAAAAGCAAACCAAATTTTTAAATTATTTGTTATTCTATTATCAGCCACATAAAATAATTACATGAATTTCTGATCACTTGCTCTCAGTTTTTGTGCTCATCTATCTATGGACTTTGTAACAGGTAGTAGTGAACCTGCATTGGTCCTTGGAGATACTGGAGTTGCTCTGCTCTTGCTAAGGCATATGTATTAATCAATCCTTGCAACCAGTAAAGACTGTGGTCTGCATGTACTGTGCCCTTTACACAAGGAAAGAACCAAACATGAAAATGGCTGGGTGGAAGTGATGTTCAGGAGATTGCAGCTCAGCCAAATTTCAGCTTGTTGGCCTGCAGTTGCTTGCAAAGTGTTTAGATATAATTGTATAAAGCTAGAGATTTTTTTTTTTTTTGCTTAATTTGTAAACAGATAGTCAATATCACAGTGGACTCTAAGACTATTTCTGCTGAAGCCCAGGTTTTAACATCCGATGCCAGTAAATTAACTGCTGAGAACATCACTTCTGCTACTAAAGTGGTTGGACAAATCTTTAATGCATCCAGAAAGGCTGAACCTGAGGTAAAACTCAAGACTTTAATAAAAGAAGCTGGGGGGGGGGGGGGGACAGTAGAAAGACATACCAAGTTCTACTCCTCATATCATGGTATGATTTGGGCTAGGTTAATTTTGCTTAAGACCATTTTGTAGAGTACTATTTCTAAAGGATGTTCAAAGAAATTTAAAAAGGGGTCCTTGTGCAAATATCTTCCTTTGGGATAATTATAATGATCATTATTATTCTAAATCTTCCAGAAAATCCTGACATGAACAAGTCTCTGTTACTTTATTAATTTGTTTACCAATTGCATTTGACCTCAACATCTCTCTCTTATTCCAGAGAACTCACTCTGGAACATACTTTTAAACCCTGATTCCTTTGTGATAAGCATAATTGCTTTTTGGTCTAGCCTTTCGGGAAACTTGAAGCCTAGTTTACATTTGTGGTATGACAACCTGGTAAACTCTGATACCTAAAAACAAGACACATACTCAACATTTATCAGTTGGTAGAGCTTGAGAACATTTGTCAGTTGGTAGAGCTTGAGAATTGGTAGTGTTATAAACCACCAATACGCATTAACCCAGTACTTGCCCATGGAATATGGGCGTAGCTCCTTTCTTCCATTCCCTTTAAATGTCTTATTTCAAAAAAAGTTTTTTAAAGTTAGGTCCTTTAGAAGGTAGGTGAAATTCAAGTCACAAATTAATTAAAATAAGACTATTGACCACAAAATTTAGAATTTATAGAAAGATTAACTAGTAAAAATAGTCAATTAAATAGTAATCAAATGCCAAGAGATCATCTCTCTGACATACTCCTGAGTTTTTTATTGTAAAAAAATACAAATAATCTTACTAAGTCTGATAGCTTGTATAACTAGTAAGTGATACTGATAAGTGATATTCTGGGCTGGAATATATTAACAATCAGAGCCCTGCACTCTTCTTATTTTGTTTCTGCTTTTGTATCCAAGCATTTGCCTTTGAGTTCTTAAGAATGGGATAGGGTTCTGTGAAGTATCATGTTAAGAGATCATATTTAGAGACTTAAGCCTCCTAATTCATTATCTTAATTTATATTTTCACCCCCCACCCTTCGCAGCATATTATGGATCAGCATCCTTAACATTTCCTTGTCTTGAGTCCCTCTGTCATTTACATAGGTCAAAAACTAAAACTTTAATTTTGAAAAAAATATCCTTGCCTCTTATCATACAAAGATGCTACTTGCTACATAATAATTCACCATCATGATGGTGATGATAATGTATGAGGTGTCTTCTGTGATCATTAGTGCCTTCTCCTTGGCAGGCAAAGAAAGTTGCTGTAACAACAGTGAGTCAACTTCTGGATGCCAGTGAAGATGCTTTTCAAAGAGCTGCTGCTACTGATAATGACAATGCCTTTACAACGTAAGCACAATCTCAATTGGAAAGAAAACTTGACAAAGTGCCATTTAGCTTTCTAGGATGAAGCATAAATAGAGGTGTCTATTTCTCTCATGAATGCAGCAAATGACTGATTTATCTGAAATGCAGACAGAGTCCTTGGCTTTCCCCTTGGTCTGGTTACTACCTAGAATGGTAAATGCTACATCCGGGAGATAGTGACTGGGATGATGTAGATTAGAACTTGTTTCCTTGGCCTTATTTTATCATGGTCATGGTCAAGGGGTAACCTCCACCCATTGCAGGAGCTCTTCCAACTCTGTTCTCCAGGTACAGAGCTGCAGAGGACAGTCAACTTACATCATTTGCAGGATACACAGCCAGCCCCCATCCTATACCTCAGTGCTCTCTTCCAATACCCTGGTATATTTTGATTAAACTTTATTTAGCTTTCCAAGGCTATATTGAAAAAAAAGAAGAAGAATCCAACTATACTTGTTTCATATGTTCTTGATAACTATGTTCTGGATTATTCTGGGTTCTATATTTGTACTAAAACTCATGTGCTTTATTCATAAAGATCCTCACTGAGACTCACTATATTTTTTTTTAATTTTTTATTGTTGGTTGTTCAAAATATTACATAGTTCTTGATATATCATATTTCACACTTTGATTCAAGTGGGTTATGAACTCCCATTTTTACCCCGTATACAAATTGCAGAATCACATCAGTTACGCATCCATTGATTTACATATTGCCATACTAGTGTCTGTTGTATTCTGCTGCCTTTCCTATCCTCTACTATCCCCCCTCCACTATATTTTTTAAAAATTTTAATTTGTTACATATGACAACAGAATGCATTACAATTCATATTACACATATAGAGCGCAATTTTTCATATCTCTGGTTGTACACAAAGTAGAATCACATCCTTCCTGTCTTCATACATGTACTTAGGATAATGATGACCATTGCATTCCACCATCTTTCCTGCCCCTTTGTCCCCTCACTTCCCCCCCTCTCCTTTTCCCCTTTGTTTTTTTTTTTTAAAGAGAGAGTGAGAGAGAGAGAAAGAATTTTTTAATATTTATTTTTTAGTTATCGGCGGACACAACATCTTTGTTTGTATGTGGTGCTGAGGATCAAACCTGGGCCGCACGCATGCCAGGCGAGCGCACCACCGCTTGAGCCACATCCCCAGCCCCCTCCCCCCTTGTTCTATCTAGAGTTCATTTAATCCTTCCATTACCACCCCCAACCCCACGCAGCATATTATGGATCAGCATCCTTAAATCAGAGAAATTATTCGGCATTTGTTTTTGGGGGATTGGCTAATTTCACTTAGCATTATATTCTCCGGCTCCATCATTTTTCTGCAAATGCCATATTTTTATTCTCTTTTAATGCTGAGTAATCCATTGTGTATATATACCACATTTTCTTTATCCATTCATCTACTGAAGGGCATCTAGGTTGGTTCCACAGTTTTACTATTGTGAATTTTGCTGCTATAAACATTAATGTGGCTGTGTCCTTGTAGTATGCTGTTTTTAAGTCCTTTGGGTATTGACTGAGGAGAGGAATAGCTGGGTCAAATGGTGGTTCCATTCCCAGTTTTCCAAAGATTCTCCATACTGCTTTCCATATTGGCTGCACCAATTTGCAGTACCACCAGCAATGTATGAGTGTGCCTTTTCCCCCCACACCCTCGTCAACATTTATTGTTGTTTGTATTCTCAATAGCTTTCGTTCTGATTGAAGTGAGATGAAATCCTAGAGTAGTTTTGATTTGCACTTCTCTAATTGCTAGAGAAGTTGAACACTTTTTTATATATTTGCTGATTGATTGTATGTCTTCTTCTGAGAAGTGTCTGTTCAGTTCTTTGGCACATTTATTTTTTGGGTGTTTTTTGAGTTCTTTATATATCCTGGAGATTAATGATCTATCTGAAGTGTATATGGTAAAGATTTTCTCCCATTCTGTAGGTTCTCTCTTCGTGTTCTTGATTGTTTCCTTTGCTGTGAAGAAGCTTTTTAGTTTGATTCCATCTAATTTATTGATTCTTGATTTTACTTCTTGTATTTTAGAAGTTTTGTTAAGGAAGTTAGTTCCTATGCCAATGTGATGAAGATTTAGGCCTACTTTTCCTTCTGTTAGGGGCAGGGTCTCTGGTTTAATGCCTAGGTCCTTGATCCACTTTGAGTTGAGTTTTATGCAGAGTAAGAGATAGGGGTTTAATTCCATTTTGTTAAATATGGATTTCTAGTTTTCCCAGTACCATTTGTTGAGGCTATCTTTTCTCTAATGTTTATTCCACCTTGTCCAGTATGAGATAAGTATATTTATGTGGGTTTGTCTCTGTCTGTCCTCTATTCTGTGCCATTGGTCTTTGTTTCTATTTTTGTGCCAACACCATGCCTTTTTTTTAAACTATAGCTCTATAGTATAACTTAAGGTCTGGTCTATGATGCCTCCTGCTTCACTTTTCACTTTTCTTGCTAAGGGTTGCTTTGGCTATTCTGGGTCTCTTATTTTTCCAAATGAATTTCATGATTGCTCTTTCTATTTCTATGAATAATGTCATTAGAATTTTAACAGGAATTGCATTAAATCTGTATAGTGCTTTTGGTAGTATGGCCATTTTGATAAAGATAATTCTGCCTATCCAAGAGCATGGGAGATCTTTCCATCTACTAAGGTCTTCTTCAATTTCTTTCTTTAGTGTTCTGTAGTAATTTTCATTGTAGAGGTCTTTCACCTCTTTTGTTAGATTGATTTCTAAATATTTTATTTTGAACTTGTATTTGTCCTCACAGTGATATAATGACCTGTCTTACTTCCTCTAAATCATCCTGATAAAACTGCTACTCTGACTAGAAAATTCCCAAAAGAAAGAATCTGATGCCTTCTTTTAGTTTGTGGCCAGTCTCTGGATTGGACTGTATTCAGGGGCCATGTTGAACCTAATAAATTATGACAAGAAGGGTATGGTAAATCATGTGGTAGAGAAAAAATGGTCCAAGAAGTAGCTGTGAGAAGAGCAACTCTGTGAATGTGTTTATGAACATAGAGTAAAAACTCTGATATGTTTAGGACATCTTTCTTTCCCTTTATCCTGTGTAAGCCAGAGGGTGCTCCTCCTGGTACTCTGAATGTTTCGCAGCACTTGTTAGTGGGAACTCAACAGAAGCTATTTGGTTGCTCAAATGATGTTCTTCACAGATCGGAGTCATTAGTTCCTCCTAGTGAAAGCAGTCCTGGGCTATGATCATTAATCACCAAATGGGAAATACATAGTGTGAGTTGCTGAAAATTCATAAAATGGAGTGATGAAGGGAAAACATTTGGAATGGGGTTTAGCCAGGATAGAAAAGAACATTGCAAAAATCTCAGTGTGTAGTACATAGTCGAAGCAGAGAGCATGAGGGTCCAATCTTTTGTGGTTTCATTTGAAACTATCAACCATCAACAACTTAGAAGAGATGCTTAAGATCCCAGGGCACTTGGGTGAGAATAGGGACATAAATAAATGGAAGTTG